AAAAAAAAAAAAAAAAAAAGTCTCATTGTTCAGCAGCTTCTTTAGCAAAAACATGACCTGTGTGGACGGCCCTTAACACCCAGCATTCTAGCAAACACTAGCGTAGTTATTTGAAACTCTTTTACTATTAAAAGCTTCAGGGTAACCCACACTAAAAGGTGCTCAAGGCTACTTAATAATGTGCGCAAGGGGAGCGACAGTTTGGAAGAAGCGCTGTCAGAGGAACGGAAAAGAAGGAAGTAACTGACATTTGACACTGTGATCCCCCGTGTCTCTACTATAGCCTGTAGAAAGCAAAAACTATTTCGGAATGCTTCTAAGCCCAACACGGCTATTTAGAGGACAGCAGAGTTCCGGGAAGCATTGTGGAAATACTGCAACTGACATGTGCTAGGCCTTTAAATAAGCCTGGGATGTCCAATACTCACAGCCTAATGTATCTAGTTGGAGAATACCAACTCATACTCTTCACTCATTGAAAGATCTGTTATATAAACTGTAGGTCTCATGTGGTTGAACCAATTTACCCCCACGTGTTGTTCCAAACCTGTATGACTTTTCTGTGGATCACACAGAAGCTACCCTTTTAATATTAAAGATCAACACAAAAACATGGCTAACAAGTCTCTTGTCTGTTCTGGTTTTCATTCCTGCAATGTCAAATTCCACATATTTAATGTATAGCCCTCAACTGACAGAATGTTAAAAACGCTATTAAGTAAAATTTGCATTTAACACATGGCATCTTGTCAGCCTTAACTGGTAGACCCCTCATTCTCTCAATTATAGTCTATTTGAATTTGTTCAGATAAGCTTTCCAGACAGTGTTCATCTGTTCACAATCTGTTCCAATGTGTTCTTGACTAGCAATAAACTCCGAACCAACACAAGCCAACCCAGAGCAGAAATTCATGCTGGTATAAGCTGTTTAAGGGCAATAGGAACTCTCGACTCACATCAGTCATTCAGGAAGGAGAAATCTCTGACCCTGTTTACCACTACACTGTCTGCTGCGAGATGCGTGAGCTGCCGTGCAGTGATCCGCTTACGGCTGCGGCATCAGACTGGCCCTAGAACATCAGACAGGCAGGCAAGAGGAGGAATAACAATTAGCCAACTGCAGTGAGGACACTTCAGGTTGAATGGGCAAAAGCTGTAGCACTTGAAACAGCCAAAAAGACACACTTCATATACACAAGAAGTGACTTAGACAGTCGCAAATGCGGTAAATCATGATGGCTCCGTTCCAAAAACCAGTAAACTGCCTTAGGCAGCTGCCTTATATCACAGCATCCAAACAGACACACACACACGGCAGGGCTCTCTAGGCCCCCAGAAAGGGCTCAAACTATTGTAAAAACAATGTTTACAATTTTTAAATATTTTTTAAATGACAAATGTTAAATATTATTTTCTAATAAAAATAAATGTAAATACATTTCTATTTTTAATTAAGCAATTCATAATTTGACAATCACCATCTAAATGAAATAAATACAATTTCTGTGGAAATAACTCTTCAGATCTGCCTATTCAGTGAATGTGTTACATGAACGACGCCCATTTTATCCAAATTAGAATGTTTCTGCCTAGAGTTTGCGGCTCCGTGATTGGTGGTCCAGCTATGAAATTACAGAGGGCCAAGCAATAGTAAATCAATGGGAGAGTAATGTGTATGGAATGTTTTCCCCAATTACATATTTAACTCGTTGGGTGGCATTAATTATATATTTTTTTTAATGTAATATTTGGGTTGAAAAAATCCCAGTTAAACTGGCAAACTTTCATAAGCAGGCACTGCTGGCTTGGCAATTAATCTATAAACATAACTTTTCACCGCATCAATATTTTATATGGAATAATAACGATATCTTGTACAAAAAAAAAGTCAATCTTTAATCAGACATGGTACAACAATGGAATTCTTACTGTTAGTCAGTTGGTTAATAAACAAAGTTTACTTTTAACATGTTCTGAATTTCTCAATAAATTTGAGAAAAGAATACTTTATTATCTTTGATGCAATTCCTGGCAGAGTTGTATCACTATTACGAAATCCTGGATTCTCTCCTGTAAACGTTGATCATCAAACCAGTTTTTGTAGTGATACAATATTTATTGGGGATATTAATATAGTGATAAATGTAGTAACAAATATATTAGAAATACTTTAAAAACAAACTATTTGCCTTGTTCAACAATGTTTTGGTCTACTAAATATGAAAATGTTAACTGGAAAAAAGTATGGTCAATAACAAATACGTTTTTTTATTAATAATAAAATTAGAGAGGTATCCTATAAAATTTTACACAACATTTACCCTGTCAAGGAGTTGCTTGAATGTTTCAATTTGAATATTGAAAACTTCTGTGAATTTTGTAGCAGTGTCAAAGAATCTGTGACTCATCTTTTTTTTTTGATTGTATATATTCAAAAAAAGTTTTGGTTGGATGTTTCTAATTTCATTTCTAGGTTGTTTGGAACATGTATACAAATTGATCTGTTTGATGTTGTATTTTTTATTTTTATTTTTTTTGTACAGGACAATGTTGATTCCAAAAATATGATGTGCTTCCTTATACAACTTTTTATTTTACTTTGAAAATATCACCAAATATTCATGTGAAATAATGGACTAAAGCTAAGCCAAACTTTGAACATTTTATATAAGAGATTAAACAATATGGTACTACATTAGACAAAAATAAGAACAAAAAAAGCAAGAAAGACCTATGAAGCTTTTTGTTACTATAAATTGTTGAAATTTTACCTCTGGCATGAATTATTTCACTTTACATATTCTTATGAATATTTATTTGTTTTTGTACTTGTTGCGAGTTGTATATGCTTGTACAAATCTTTGTATAATTTTTGCATACTAAAAAAAAACAAGGGGTAGAGTAATTTTATATGACAGAAAAATTGACCAAACATATCACTATATATTATCACTATTAGTTATCAATAACTTTATGACAAGTTCCGCCCGCTGTGGGGATCTCTATCGAAAAAAAAAAATTATATATATATATATATATATACAAACAAACTAGCTATTATTCACGTCATGATGGAAGCCGCAAATAACTTAACCGAGGACATTTACTAGGCACTGCCTGTTTGTCATGAAGTGTCTGCCAGCTAATTTGTTTTGCTGTGAGCGCTGTCATGATGTGTTGGCTTAGATTAAACACACATTACTTTTGATGGACCGATTGTGTGATGATGCATTTGTAATGAGGATTTTCATTTGACTTAAATTTAGCTATGTATTATTTTGGTGATATCAGTCACTCTCGCTGTCCTGTTTTCTTATTGCCCGCCTTAGTGTAATAGCGCTCTATAGTTTGAACAATGGTTTACAATTCATATGACATTTGTATTTATTTTTACCTGAGCCGTGCTGAACGCCAACAGGTGCTCTAGTCACGATTCAAGCACCTCCTTCCGTCTCTTCACTCGTTGTGCTGAACCACCGTCCCCACCTAGTGACTGAATGCTGTTACTGCGGCTCCAGTTGCGTTCAACTTGGTTATAACCGGCTGAACGTGAAAACAGGCAAATATGACATATTTTCATTGATGCGAATGAAAACTGGTTTAAGTTAATACATTTTAGAGAAACAGATGGATGGATGGATGAATAAAAATACATTAATTGTTTTGATTATTATAATTTGATCTTTATTATATTCATAAAATGTAATGAAAACTGCCAATGTTTCAACAATTTAAGATTTACATTAAAACATATTTAGATATAATACTTTAAAGCAGTAGCCTACAAACTATGCAAAAGGTTAATATGAACAATGCAGAATTTTATTATTTATATGCCATTTCTTCATAGTAACATGCTGCTAATCTGGTGGGTAAACAATACAACTTTCAGTAGTTGTTCTGCAGTTCATTCATTAGAGGTTTTTCATGCTTGTACAGAGCGATGACCAGGTCCTTAGCAATGCTTTCACAATTCACACAGCCAAGCAGTTTCCTCATCTTCTCTTGATCGGTTGACTTCGCTCTCACATTTGCAACTGATTCAGCGTGTAGGTCAACAAGATCATCAATAATTGGATCAATGTTTTTCACATTTTGAACCAACAGACTGAAATTTTTTTTTAGAAACATCTGACAATCTGGGAATACAAAAAGAAAAAAAAAATCATAAGATACTGGAAAGAGAATTATATAGACTAGAAAGAAAACAACTCTAACCTTGTATTGGCCTCTGTTGACAGTCTCTATCAGGTTTCTGGTCTGAAACATTAGGGGGGGGGTTATTATTAAGGACAATACATGCACTACAACACACTATCTAATACAGTGTGCAATGTGCCTTCAGTGGCTTAAAGTATTAACATATAACACACACACACATATATATATTTATATGAGACTTGCCATTCTAAATTTCATTGTACCTTGTGCAATGACAATAAAGTATCTTACTTGATGAATCAGGTTAACAGATAAGAAAGCCCCTTTGGATGGTCTTTGATTATTGCTATTGTTAATTATAAGTACATTTTAATAACCAAAAACATAAAATGTCCCAGATTGTGCATGTAATCATGTTAGAGCAAAATTTTCCCAATTCTTTTTGGCTATTTAATTGTGATGTTTATTGTTTGAAAATTGCTCAATTACACAAACCAGGTTTTTAAACCGTATATAGATGTGTCCAAAATAGGAGGGCTTCATAAAAATGCAAATGCCAAAGAAAAATGTAAAATAATAAAAATAAAAATAATAATAAATAAATAAAACAGCTTATATAAAATTTACTTTGGCCTCCAGAGGTACATGATCAATATTTTCTGAAGGTTAAGCAACATTTTATTACCATTTTTAATAGTTTTAGGCAGTGTTTTTCACAGACCAATTTTATGTATGTATGTATTTATTTATTTATTTTGTTGTTTGTTTGTTTAAGGCAACTTACACTTACAAATTGCCTGCACATCTGATCTGCCAGAGGGTGCAGCAGTTGTATCAAATTCAATGGGGCACAGACTTCTACCAGTTATGACAGGCGAATTTATAAAGCTGCCATCAGATGCAGAGATGTTGCCTTTAAAAAAAATTAATAAATAAAAACTGTCAATTCATACAATTGTTGATTGTACATCTGATAATGTTTCCCATTATTAATAAATATAAATCACACTAACATATTACTTGGATGCCTGAATGTCTTGTCATGTTTGCAGTCTCTGATGAAAAAAAACAACTTTATTTTGGATGGCAAAAATCATGCAAGCATCCTATGGACTGCGATGCAGTGCATTACAGTGATCTGCCTAGTTTACCACAATACATATTTAAAAGTATTCATAGCAACTTTACAGTTCTTTTCCATACAGGGCAATTCAATGTCACTAAAGTTGAACTATATGAATAAAGACACTTGAGGGAGCCAGCTAACTCAAAACTGAAAGCCATCATTTTCCATTAAAGGAACACTCCACTATTTTTGAAAATAGGCTCATTTTCCAAATCCCCTAGAGTTAAACAGTTGAGTTTTACCGTTTTCGAATCCATTCAGCCGATCTCCGTGTCTGGCGGTAGCACTTTTTGCAGATCGGCTGAATGGATTCGAAAACGGTAAAACTCAACTGTTTAACTCTAGGGGAGTTGGAAAATGAGCCTATTTTCAAAAATAGTGGAGTGTTCCTTTAAATCACATCATATTTGTCCCAAATCCTTGTCAATGTATATACTGACTCATATACATGTATATACCCTACACACATGCATGCATGCATATACACAGAAAAAGATTTAATCAAGATCTAAAATTTAACCTTGTATTGGCCTGTCACCACTTTCTCTTCTTTTGCAGTCTTTTTCTGTTTTCTGGTCTGTAAAATTATTTTTTTTAAAAAGGATTATTAGTAATAGTAGTCAGTGTTGGGGAGTAACTAGTTACATGCAACGAATTATGTAATTTAATTACAAAATAAATGTAATTGTAATCAGTTACAGTTACTGAGAAAAAATGTGTAATTAAATTACAGTTACTTATGAAAATGTTAACGATTACAATGGGGGTTACATCTGAATTTATTTTCACACCCACACCCACATATTTAATTGATTTCTTTCATAAATTGCAGTGACTGCTCTAAAATATGAGACATCAATATTTCAGGAATTTAGGACACAGTATAGGACACATGCTTATTCGATAACTGTTTTATTTCCTATTTGGGTTTATGTATATGCTTTTTTTTTTAAAGATTTACAGTTTTTTTTTTTTCCACAGCATTGTTAGATTCCAGTGTTTCCTGTCATAGTTATGCAAAGATTTGAGAAACAGTATCATAGCTACTAAAATATGTCTTGTTATGGTTTTAAATCTGTATTTAACCTCAAAATGATCTCAAAGTAAGTTCTGATTTTGTGGTCCCTGTGCTTTAAAATTACATTTTACTTGATTCTTAATTGAAGTGATGAAGGATTTCGAAAGTCTGACAGTAATCAGTTGAATACTACTGTAAGGTTAACCCTGCCTGGTTTAAATGGTTGAAAATGAATAACAGTTGAAAACATTAGAAATTTAGAAAAGTAATCAAATGTAATCAGTTACATCACATTATTACAGTAATTAAATTACATTTTACTTGATTCTTAATTCAAGCGATGAAGGATTTCGAAAGTCTGACAGTAATCAGTTGAATACTACTGTAAGGTTAACCCTGCCTGGTTTAAATGGTTGAAAATGAATAACAGTTGAAAACATTAGAAATTTAGAAAAGTAATCAAATGTAATCAGTTACATCACATTATTACAGTAATTGAAATAGTTACACTACTTATTACATTTTAAATAGGGTCATTTGTAATCTATAACCTATTACGTTTCCAAAGTAACCTTCCCAACACTGGTAGTAGTACAGTACTACTACTACTAGTACACTAAAGTTCTGAAGACACTTGAGGGCGCTTAGCTACAACTCCTGACAGAAAATCCATCCTTTTCCATTAAATCACATAATATTTGTACAAAATAATGTTTAATGTGTGTGACTTCACACTAGGCTGGAATGCATTTTTCAGTAGGTCGAATATGTTTGTATATTGTGGCTTAAATGAAGTGTTTCATATAGGAAAAAATAGCCATCATGTAGCTCTTTCGCTTTCCATTTGCGTTTTTAAACAAACATCCATTATCGAAAAAAAAGACTGTTTGGTTGCTGTCCATTTTCCATTCCGCTAAAACGGGCCACTAGTTTCACTTTATGAACTAACATTTATTTTTCATATGGCATGAATGAATGCATTAGGCCTCTCTATAAATGTGCACAAGGTTTTTGCAAAGCAACTTACCTTTAGTGTCCACAGTTTTGATCCATTCTCTGAGCTCAGGAGAAATTTCATTCACATCATCATCTTTCAGCAAATCCAGAAATTTTCGGCACACATTTTCACCCCTTCCAAGAATGATGTCCAGAAGTCTGATAATAACCCTTTCCTTAGCTGTCATGTCCATCAGTTCACTATACTGCGACATTGTTATAAGTTTTTTAGCTTGAACATATTGCAAAAAAAGTTCAGAATCCGAACTAAGCCATTTGATGAGCTTAGGTTTGTTTTCCAAGATGATTTCCTCCATTTTCTACGACACGTTTACGCTACAACTTATGAAAAAAAAAAAAAAACATAGAGCCAGTTTACTTTCGTTTTCGATGTGCGTTGCATTTATTTTACCGCTGGGTGGCGACTGTGTCTAAAGAAGTAAAGCTTTTTCTTAAAAGTACATTACAATATCTTATCTCACCGACTGTTATGCAACTTCACTTGCAAACCTTGTCTCTCATTGTCTCTGTTTACTAGCATGAGATCAAATTGAATTTGTAAAACTATTACTAAAAGCATTGTGCATGTTGCTTCTGTCTTCAGCCAATGCAGCATTTTTGTTTTACAAAGAGTAGGCCTATTATTTATTCTCGCTGACCAGATGATGGAGAGGAAAAACAAACTCTGACAAGCACAGAACTGAAAATACGATCAAAAAGACTCTCTAAATTACTCTTGCTTTTCATATATGCAGCTCTACTCAACAATACTCTTGAGTCAGTCCTCATTCTGTTTGTTGGCCTTGACAGAATGCATTTTATTCAGTTCTTAGGATGAAAAGCACAAAAGATGCATATAAAGTATCATAAAAATGGTCCCATGATTCTTGTTTATTAGTCTAGATCAGTGTTTCTCAACCCTGGTCCTGGGCGCCCCCCAACACTGCTCATTTTGTATGTCTTCCTTGTCTGACACACCCATTTCAGGTCCTGGTGTTTCTTCTAATGAGCTAATGAGTTGAATCAGGTGTGTTTGATTAGGGAGACACACAAAATGTGCAGGGTTGGGGGGTGCCCAGGACCAGGGTTGAGAATCACTGGTCTAGATAAACAAACTGCTGTTTGCTGTCTAGAGGTGCAGCAATAGACTGTTTATTTAGTTTTACGATGGTTTCAAGTGTTGTAGTTCAAATGGATGGGAAGAAACATTGTGCACATGGTCGCTGATTATCATTTATCTATGACTGAGAAAATAGAAAGTGACAGCAGGACCTGACAGCTAACTCAGCAGATCTACTATAAGAGGTGAGACAAGCGCTCCGCTGACTGGGCATGAGCCAGTTAAGAAGGAGGAGGTAATGTCACCTTCATTAAAAATGAATTCCTTGTTAACATCCAGTTATTTAGAAAATATAATCTCACTTGTACACATTAAAGGGGTCATATGATGTTGCTAAAAAGAACATTATTTTGTGTATTTTGTGTAATGAAATGTGTTTATGCGGTTTAAGGTTAAAAAAACACATTATTTTCCACATACTGTACATTATTGTTTCTCCTCTATGCCCCGCCTTTCTGAAACGCGTCGATTTTTACAAAGCTCATCGGTCTGAAAAGCAAGGTGTGCTGTGATTGGCCAGCTATCCAGTGCGTTATGATTGGCCGAATACCTCAAGCGTGTGACGGAAATGTTACGCCCCTACCATACTGTGATGCCGTGTCCCGGAGCGATGATTCTAAAACATGAAAACCCATTATAAACGAGGTATTCGTTGACTCTACACTGCCCAAAAAACTCACTTTAAATATAAAAAATATAAAAATATAAAAACTCTTTAAATATAAAAAACGTAATTACAGTCTGACAGCCGGCATTGTAGTCTACTCTACCAGAATCAGGAAACAGTCCTCCATAAAATGTGCTGCACACATCTGAATATTTGGGTTGAAGTGTTCTGGAACAGTGTAAAGCTCATCGGTCTGAAAAGCGAGGTGTGCTGTGATTGGCCAGCTATCCAGTGCGTTGTGATTGGCCGAATTCCTCAAGCGTGTGACGGAAATGTTACGTCCCTTACCATATTGTGATGCATGTGGCAACCACATGTGACGACCCCGGGCTGGACTCCGCTTCGTCCACGGTGAAAGCCGATCCGGTTTATAGCGGATATCACAAAGTAGTTTCGCTTTCACAACGAAACACACAGCGCCTTCACGACATGGCGGCGGCAACAACAATACTACAGCGAGAATAAAAGTTACGCCTTCTTTCTTTGCGTGAACATTTGGGCGGTGTTATGCAAATCTTCCCACATAGTGACGTAGACATGTGGGGGCGTGTTAGAACGAGCCATTTTAGGTAGGCGTGGCTGACTCTTAACTTTAATAAAGAATATCTCTTTGGATTTGAGACTTTAGTCTTTGCAACTTTACAGATCTTCTTTATGCACCAAGAGCTTGTAACACTCCAAAGAGAAAGGAAAAATTGAAATCGCACCATATGACCCCTTTAAAGCAAAGACTGGACAACATCCAGTGTGCTATTTACAATACGAGGACTCAGTCCCCTAGTCAATACCAAGTTAAAGTCAGAGAAAACTAAAAAATGAGTTAGTATTGGTACATCAACACATCATTTTCCTAATGAACCATGCAAGCCTAATATTATGCCCCGCAGATGTCTATAAGATGTTGACCAACTGATGTTTAATTCATGCATGGCTCAAACATCACCATCTGCAAACCATCTGTGATGTTCTTAGTTAGTTATCATTTAGCGCACACATTATATAAAGCAACCTAAAGCATCTGATTAGCTGTATCAACAACTCCAAAATTCTGTCATTTCTGGGATTTAAACTTTCTATCTATCTAACAATCTATCTAACAGTCTAACTATTTATAATTAATATCTATAACTAAACCTTTTGCATATGGAGAGACTGTAGCCACATTTACAGAACAACAAGGGAATCTTTCAAAAGCCAAACATGCTTGAAGCAAAAGCAGATGACATAGCCTCTTAAGACCCGAGAAAAGATTTTTAGGAAAAAAATAGTTTTTTTCATGTCTTTACATTGTTTAGAGCATTAAAAAAAATAAAACAATTTAACAACATAAACAAAACCCGACGACATAAATAGAACATCAATGCGAACTGAAAAAACGCCATTGAGTTGCATCTGAATCACTTAGCTTTATATAATATTAGCGGTATTTAGAATTTATGTGCTGTTTTCTAAACTGATTTAATTAAAATGCGCATTAATCTGCCGATCTTACCGTATATGAGAGATAAGGATCGATAAATCCAAGATGATCAGTGTGAAAAAAAAAAAAAATCCACAATTTGATCTCATGGTCGGTTGTATTCTGAAGCTGTGCGATGTAAACTGCAGATCTTTGAGCTCATGGCCTCTCATTACTCCTGATCCAGTCATTGCCATGTGATTCAGCCACTGAATTAGCCTCTTAAGACCCGAGAAAAGATTTTTTAAAAAAAAAGTTTTTTTCATGTCTTTACATTGTTTAGAGCATAAAAAAAATTTAAAAAGAAAAAAAATGAAAAAATGATATTTCGTTCATAAGTTATTCTATTTCCTCGGTAGAGGACATCGGGACTCAATTTAAAAAAAAAATAAAAACACATGAACATGCATAGGCAAAAACAATAGATTTTTTTTAATCACCAATACATTTTTAGTTTTCAGGATTCTTTTTTTTTTACCAAACTTTGTATAAAGATGATTCTCATCTATGTTATAACAGAATGATTTGATATACCATTTTTCTTTCTGCAAAATGTGTGTAAAATGGCCATAAACGGGTTTTCTCATTATATACAATGTATCTATAAACTAAATCTAATTTGCATATTAATGTGTTTTTGGGGCAACATGTAATTAAAAAAGAAGTGTAATAATGGGAGTAATATTTGACAAGATTTTCATAATAATATATAATATTTCATAGAATATTGAAACATAATTTCTTTCCCTATTCATTTGTTATGTCTCCCAAAATGCGTAATAAACATGCTTTTAGTCCCAGTGTCCTCATATGAGGACATGTATGAAATCAACATCCTGTTTCGTAACAGAAAGTCATATTTTGATTTGAAACCCCTTAACATTTTCCTGAGATGTTGATTTATGACAGACAGTTTAAAAATTAGACAGATTTAAATGATAATTACAAAATATTATCATATTTCCATAAGAGTGTCACTAAATTAATATCAGACATATTTGAAGACGAAGGAGAGGGAGTGGTCATAGTGAAACATCCAAACATTTAGTATCTCTGAAAAGCCCTGAAGGTGCTCTGTACAGGACATGCAGACTTAAAACTGTGGCATGTATAGTCTCAGAGAAATACACCAAAATATAATGTCATCATATGAGGTCACAGGGTCTCAGGAGGATAGGTCAGTATGAATCATATTTGTTTTGTTACCAACCCTGCTTACACCAGGAAAAGAAAACAAAATCTATGTCAAGTGATGCCCCAAGTATCAAAATATGATCCAGAGAATCTTAAACATTAAATAGAGATACCTGGTAAAATAAACAACACACTATACTTTAAGGATATATTTCATTAGATATTTATCACAAAATATATTTTGAGAAGAAAAAAAAGCTTCTGTATTATTTTTGTATTCCGTACTATTGTTTAATATTAAACAAATCAACATAAAATACAATAAACTGAACATTTGGATAAACTGTACTTTGCAAATAAATATCTAAATAAATATGTATTTTAACCTTTACAGCAGACACACTGAATAATTTTTATAGCACAACCACAGGAGCACACAGATTGCTGTAGGGAGGTTATAGATATGTCAGTCTTGATTAACTTTTAAAGCTACAACTACCAAACTCGGGTCAGACCTTCAGACGGGTCTGCCTCGGGTTGCTATATCTTTTCTAACTGATCTGGCTTACGGTTTTCGTAAACCAGACTATCAAAACCACCTAAAATCCCATAGACTTTCATTGAGGGGGAGAACATTTTTATACAATAAGACTTATGGTGTATTTAAGATGTCTATTGCTATAGCAAAGCTTAACAACTCCCTACTGAAAAAACAGCTAAAACCAGCCTAAGCTGATTGACTGCTTTGGCTGGTCTTAGCTGGTTTTTAGCTGTTTTTTTTTTACTGAATCAACTGGTTTAAGCTGGATTAGCATAGAAACATGCTAACACCATGCTAGTAACTTGCTAATCGTGCTAGAAACATGCTAACAAAATGCTAGTAACTTGCTAATCATGTTAACAACATGCTAGTAACATGCTAAAAAGGCTAACACCATGCTAGTAATGTGCTAATCA